ATATATATAAGACTGGGTTGATAAGCTAAGAGGTAAAGCCAAAAATGGATTGCTACTATCTTAAACCAACTCCAGCATATACAAATTTTACATTATAAAAATGTAATTTTATAAACCTGCATACACATTTTTGTTCTGACACTAAATTTTTAACTGGAAAGCTGTGAGGCAAACACATAATAATAATAATAATAATAATAATAAAGTCCATATGAAAGTGTTCACTCTTTTGGCAGCAAAGAGAAACTGTTGAAAATGCATTTAATCTCGACTAGTCAAACTAGACCAGAGGTCTTTAACGATGTAGTCACAACCTCTAGTGGGGAAACGGAGGTACTGCAATTATTTTTTTATTATTTTTTTCCCCCGTTATCTTTAAATACACATCAACATGTATCCAACATGCTGCAGCACCTTGATAAATGGAGGCATGAAATAACCAAATGCACACATTCAGTGAGCACATCATCTGATCTGTGCTTTGCTCACACTGAAGCCCTCTGATCTAGACTAACTCCAGTAGTCTACTTTGTGTTTAGGCTCTGCTCTGACAAGCCAGTAGCTCATCATTATGGTCATAATTTACCTATTAACTGCATTGTTCAAACAACTACATTAACTTCAGAGAATCAAATGGTGACATTTACTTTGAGCTGTACACTGTCCCTTTTCAAATAAAGTTAATTATAGTGTGTTTCAGAGAAATAATTTGGATTATCTTAATTCAGTCAAGATCAGATCCATCATTGCAAAAAGCTCTCTGCATAGTCACAAGCAATAATTAAGTATGGCACTTCTTAATTTGCCACTCAGCCGACGGAGAACTTCATTTAAATTTATTTATTCCTCTCAGATGAATCACATCTCACTAAAACACAAGTTGAAATCGGTCATTAAGTTCAGAATAAATCCGTTACAACTTTAACTGAGAGCAAAGCATTTTATTAGTTGCAAATTCAATGTTTTGTATACAAAAAGGCACTAAGTTGAGATCTGATACGATGCGTTTAGGTAAGGCTTCAAAATCCTTACACTCACAAAAGTATTTTGGTACAAAGAACATCAGAAATCAGATGAATTTGCAACTTTTACAATGTTATTTCGAAACATTCGATCAAAGTCTTTAACCAAAACATCAAATAAACACATAAGCGATTCTGTGGGAAATATACAACCATACGCAAATAATTTAGAGCTCCGTGCCCAAAATACAAGTCTGACTTATGAAAGCCTAATAATTTAGGGAAAAAAATGAAAACATAGGATCTTTGTGAGTAAGGTTCAAACTAAACCTGCTCATTAGAATGTAAATTTAATGAAAACTGACAAATCATCCTCCTGCATCAAATGATGGCACTAAAAGAACATGCATCAGATTAGCTCTTTAAGGAATGACTTGTGTTGGACTTTATGAGCTCGTGTCAGTGTAGCTGAAACATTTATTATTTTATATTTCAACTAAAGCGCTTTCAAAAGAAAAATCAACATGTTACTGACAAATGATTCAGCAAGAAAATGAGCCCTGAAGTACAATGACATGACAACATTTAGGTCTATTTAAATTGTAAAAAAGCTAAAGAAGTTAAAGAAGTGCTCCTTTTCTTCTGTAGAGGTTAAATTACGCGTTTCTGTAATAATCCAATTACTCCAGATTTAAATCACTCATTACAGTAATATCCAGCCAAATCATAAAAAACTACACTATTTTATTTTATAAACTCCTATATAAAGTTCCAATTCACAGCACAGAGCACAGAAGACCTGGAGTAAACACAAGAAAAATGCTGCTGAGACAAAACACAAGTGAATCAATGACAAACACTTATTTATGTTGCAGGATCCATCAACAGTGTGAAGAAACACAAGCATACTACAATCTTCTAGTCTCTCTCTCTCTCTCTCTCTCACACACACACACACACACACACACACACACACACACAC